AGGGAGCAAAGATGATGCTTTCTGTATGGTAAGTGGAGAAAAATAGATTTAAATTAAATTAGATAGAATGTGAAAGATGATCCTATCTCTGTTCAAGTGGTTGGCACTGTACTAATAAGGAAACCTGTGACACCAGATGTAAAAATAGCTGTTGTTTAATGAGCTAATCTGACTGGCCTCAAACAAAACTAGGGATATGCTGCACTTGCTGTATTTCTAATAAGGTAATTGTGTTGCTTTTTATCGATCTGGGAACATTTAATCTTAGTTAAAGGGCGCAGTCTGAGAAATTGGTGTGGAGGGATGCTGGGGAGAGACCAGCTCTGGCTTTGCAGGCAGGGTTTTGGGCTCTGACACTGCAATACCTTTATAAATAATTACATGTGCAGACATCTCCTGTGCCAGGCGCTGTGCTGCTTGGCAGGATGAAGTAAGGGTTTAGGACCAGGCTTCCTCAAGCTACCTTCATGTTCCAGCCGTACAGAATGCGTGCTGTTGGGGCAGAACATCTGCCTTTTCTGCCCTACTTGCAGTGTGACTCCCTTGCTCTATGTGCCTGCGAAATAGAAGCGAGTTGGTTTGTTTGATGGCGTCAAGGTTATCGTGATCGCTGAGGAGCTATTTTTGCTCTCTAACACTAGGCTTTCTGCCAGGGTAAATTCATAAGTCCTAGTGGAAGGGGTTTATGCATGCAGCAGTGAAAGTGAGAGAAATTTCAACCTGCTTTATAAGAAGTTGTGGTTTTGAATGTGGAAAAGAACAGGTGATGCTCTGAGTGTCTGACAAGTCTCTGGCCTTCGTGCTTCTGAGCAGAGAGAGCCAGCAGGGCAGGGCTGGTCTGGGGACACCAATGGGAACTTCCTTGCATGAAAACACACAGTAACACTTTGGGTTTCTGCTTTTTTGAATTTCAACCAAATTGGTTGTGGAATTAGTTGGAGGGGGAGTGTGAGACAAGCCCTCTTGGGAAGCAAGGGGAAAAATGTACTCTAAAAACTTGAGCAATACATAAGAATGTGAAACTTGTGTTACATTCTTTCTCCAATGTCTTCTTTTTGCTAGCAAACAGGCAATAAAAATCTAGATCAGTTTAAAATGTTCCAATCTTGCTAAATTGATTTTAAAATTGATCAAATGGCACAATGGCCCCAAACCGGCCTAATGAAACCATTATAATCCTCATTTAAAAGACTCTGCTTTAACCAGCAAATTAGAAATCAGCTATGCCATCAGTTTTCATTAGTTTTGTAAGTTATGGTGCATCTCAGACAGAAGCAAATACAAGTTTAAGTGGAGTACCATTAATTAAGCTAAACCATCTCAGTCAGTGATTAAATTTACCTTTCAGCACACACGTATTGAAGCTGTGTCCCCAGCAGCAGCAGCCTCAGCTCCTTGGAGGTTTCACAGCTTGTTGGGCAGAGCTCAGTGAGCAAGCATATCTTAATGCACGTATATATATGGGGTTTTTTGTTCCTGTTTTATTTGTCTTTATTTGGAAACATAAAGATGTAGCTTCCTGACTGACAGTGTAATGGGCAAGTATAAATGCTCACGAGTTTCTACTCCAAACAAGTCCACGAGTGCTCAAAACGAAACCTGCTAACCTGGAGGTGAGCCCACCAGTGCTTGTGCTTTTCACCAGCACAGAGCCAGTGTATTTCTGGCTATAGTAAAGACCAACTTGGACAAGAGGTTGGTTGTAAGAATTATTCAGGAAGCCATCCTTCTACAGCAAGGAAATCCTGTATTGGGCTACGTGTGGTTCAGAGAAGCTGAGTCTGCCTGCAGGTACCTGGTTCAGAGCTGTTCCACCCTGCTGATAGCTGCTGAGCAGACAGGTGGAGGTGGCGAGAACGTCCCACTTAATAAATAGAAAATACCTTAAGAGAGGATATGTAACAACAGTCCTACACACCCAAACTCCTTGATATCCACGGACATGCCCTGGAGGCCTGGGTTGCTCAGTCTCAGAAGGGACTTCCAACTCAAGTAGGTGGTGAGAGCACCAGACTGACACTGGCACCTGCATGTGCCTTCTGTCTCTGCTGCTGCTTCTCCCTCCTCAGATAGTGAGCTCCTTGTGTGGGCTGCTTTTCTCACACCTCAGACAGGGTCTGGCATGCTGTAGCACTGACATCTCAGCTACAAGGTTGCATGAAATACCGCTTGCTGTGGAAAACTTAATGGATGCCACATACCCAACATGTCTTTTTGCCTCCATAAACCTCCTCTGGAAATATCACATGAATGATATGGACAGGGATGTCCATTTTTAGTTCAGTGTTGTATGTGATTAAATATAACACCAATCCCTATTTAATGAACAGGATATCCTGGATATGAGGCATTCTGAAGCAAGTGCTTAGATAATATTTGTTTAAACAATGGGTGATTTAAACAATGGTAGTACAAATCAGTGTTGTGCATTCTCTCTGGCTATGATCTTGAGGTCATGGTTATTTGTGTAGAACCTGTTATTTTTCTAGAGCATGCAACTGTAATAAAAAAAATCCTTTCATTCTTTATTTTTATACAGAAGGGAAAAAAAAGGTTATTGCTTGGGGGGGGGGGAGGGGGAAGGAGCATCAACGTTATAACTTTCTTGCAAGCATATTTATTTTAATACAAACAAATGCATTGTTATTTTTTGGGAGAGGCAGAAAATGTATCTGACAGCCACCTCAGAAGTGAGTGAGTTAATAAATAGAAGTGAGTCCATCTCCCACACAGCAGTGGGAGGCCAAGCAGAGGGGCAGCCTACCACTGCTCCTTGTACCCAGGTTCAGTCTGGGTACCTGAAACAAGAGGAGCTTGTACTCCAGACAAGATAACATGGTTTGTTTATTTTGCTCTGTGATGAGCTGTAAAATGCAGACTGTTGATAGGATGTAATAACGTGGATGAGCTGCTTCCATTGCAAAGCAAAGAGTCCCAGTGGAGTAATTTTGGTAGGACTGGAACGATGGGTAATGAGAAATGACACTTCTTGCTATTCAGTAAGTGGAAGTAGTTTTGTGTTTGACCCCTTTGTTTCTGGTACAGCAGCCAGAAATGCTGTTAGCCTGGGGGACTGGGGAGATGGAGTTACTCTTTAAATGGCAATTTTCAAGTAAGGTCTTGACAGCAAAACTGGGCAGTTGCTTGTTCCTGTTGTCTCCAACATCTGACATATTCAGTGTTTTGTCCAGAGAGCTGGCCTGTGCTCAGAGTGTGCTGAAGCAGCCTAGGTTCTGCAGACAGGCCACCAGCCCAGGCTCCACAGTTCTTGCCTTGCTGCTGGCTGAAAGGTGAGAAAGGACAGGCTGGTAATTTAAACCGTGGAGATAAAAATCAAAATTGTGAGCTAACTCTGGTCCTGATTTTGGGGTCGTGGTTATTGAGTACAACCTGCTACTTGACATCTTGAGCAAGCCTGCCACATCACTGCCTGGGAGACATACAGGTGTATGCTGAGCTCCAGCTTGCACTCCCCTGAAGTGGCTGCTGGAACGCTGCTGTTAGACAACCCTGGCTCATGTCCCACTAGCTCAGGTGATGTCTGGATTTTCTCCAGCCAGAGGACCTCCATGCATGGCTGTGGGGGACTGCAGCTTTCCTCGTGTGCAGGTCCTGCTGCACTGGCCATGTTGTGGAGCTCCAGGCCTCAGCACAGCTCTGTTGCCTCCTGCAGATGTGGCCGTGTGTCTGCCAAACACTGTGTGCAGCTCATCACATCAGCCCTGTGTGAGGAGAGAGTACAGGCTGGATCCAAAGCTGGTGTGCCAATAGCAAGACCTGAAGACATGAAACGTGCTGGCTTGGGGGTGTAAAGAAGCAGATGCTATTAAGAACTGAAGCTATGGGCCAATAGGTTTATATAGTTCAGTGGTGTTTTTCAATATATCATCTTAAAGGATGGATTTCATACCAGCACAGATGTGCTTTCTAAACATTTTTGCTTTGGTTGCTTTTGAAGTAATTCACTTTGCTTGGCCTTGGTTACCCGCTTTGACTTCTCTGGGGGCAGCATTGTGGCTGCTCAGCTGAGTGCTTTCTGTAAAGCACAGCTTGATGCACTTGAAGTAATGGTTTGTTTCATATGAAGAGAAATCACAAAAACAAACATTCGCACAGCCTGTCTCTTGTGCTTAGCTCCTTCTTTTAACTCCTTTCTCTGGCTGCAATTGCATTCTCAGTTTGCTGGGCTCAATCTCCTGCCTTCAAGCACTGCTCCTTTGCCTTCACGGGACCTCTGGCAGGTCTGCTGTAATTACACAGCACTGATTCCATCACCTTTAGTGAAACCAGGACACAATGCTTATAGAGATGCTCCTTCTGCTTCAGTAAACAGCTTCTAAGTCCAGTAAACGTGTACTGAACAGAGAAGGGCCAAGGCCAGGGCTCCCATCTGCACTGACATCAGGATTGCCAACTTCTATTTATCGCAGAAACCCAGCTTGAGGACGTTCTGCCTTCGGGAACCAGAGCTAAGGGCCGCTTGAACGGCCGCAGCAGCCGCGTCTGTGCGGTGCTGCCACGGAGCAGCGCCTGGGCGGCCGCAGCCCGACGCTCTGCGCTCCCCTCGTGCAGCGACAGCATCGCGACGGCAGCGGGGTGACACCGAGGCAGCTGTCATACGGGAAGGGGCCCCACGCGGCACACAAGGAACTTCTTCGGGGTCCGGACCGTTCCTTGCCCGTCAGGGTGCGGGAACCCCGATCCCCGCGGGGCGCCCCGCGCCGGCGGCTCCGAGGCCCGGCGGGAGGCGTTGGGCGGCGCCCTCCCCGCCCCGCTCCGCTCGCTGCCGGCCGCCCCCGGCAGGCCAACGCCCGGCGCTGGCGGCGCGGCCGGGCCCGTGGCATTTCCTCTGAGCTCACTGCGGCTGACGCGGCGCTGCTTCCCTCGGAAGAGGAAGGAGAGAGGGAGCCTCGCGGCGGCGGGCTGGTGGACGCGGGCCCCTCGCCCTCGTACCGGTGGCGGCGCTGGGGGCGGCCGGAGCGGACGAGAGGGCTGGCTGCGGCGGCGGGGGCCGGCATGGACCGAACCCCCGCCGCGCCATGGCCGCCCGCGTGCCGGAGCCGCGCGCCTTCTGGCCCCTGCTGACCTGCGCGTGCACCGCGCTGCTCTGCCTCTGCCAGGCCCTGGGGGGCCGCGCGGCGGCGGCGGCGGAGGGCGAGGAAGAGGAGGGCGCGGCGGAGGCGGGCTCGGTGCCGCTGCTGAAGGGCTCGGCGCTGCTGCTGCTGGGCTGCCTGCTGGCCCGCTGCTGCGGCGCGGCGGGAGGCGGCTCGAGGCCCGGCGGGGGCTGGGGCCCCTCGGCGGCGCGGCGCAGCGCCCTGGAGGGCTTCCACGCGCGGCGGCTGCGGCTCTCGCCCCACGTGCTGGGGCACAGCAAAGCGCACGTCGGGCGCGTGGTGGCCGAGCTGGTGCGCGCCGCCAAGGCGCAGGGGCTGCAGCCCGGCCCGACGGCCCTCAGCCTGCGCGGGGACTTCGTGCGCGTCGGCAGCGCCTACGAGCAGCACAAGGTGTGCAGTCCCGACTGCTTCGACGTCCTGGTGCCGCTGCGCCTGCCGCCGCGCCTGCAGCCCGAGCCGTGCCGCGCCGCGCCGAGCGGAGCCTTCGTCTGCGGTCTGCGGGCGCCCGCGGGGGCCGGCTGGCCGCGCCGCTACCGGCCCTTCGTGGAGGGCTTCTGCGCGGATCCGCGAGGACGCCGCCTGCTCTCCTCGGCGCTGGTGCTGCGCTGGTTCCAAGGCCACCTGCAGCGCTGCCTGGGCGCCGTGCGCTACCGGCTGCAGGAGCGCTGCCGCATCAGCCTGGCCGCCTGCCCCGGCCGGCCGCCCACGCTGCACATCCGGCCCTGCTCCGACTACGTGTGCTGCCACATCTCCATGGCCGTGCGCCTCATCCCCGCCATCCCGCTGGGCGACGCGCTCTACCTCACGGCGCTGCCCCCCGACGTGCCGCCGGCCGGCCCGGCCCACGAGGCGCTGTGGGGCCTCAACGCCTCGCGGCACGAGCAGCGGCTGCTGGCCTGGCTGAAGGAGCAGGCCCCGGCCTCGTCCTGCCACCTGAAGTGCCTGCAGCTCCTCAAGGGCCTGCGGGACCTGCGCGGGCAGAGCCTGGAGGAGCCCTTCTGCTCGCAGTGGGGCCGGGTGCTCTCCTCCTACGTGCTGAAGACGGCCCTCTTCTCCCTGATGCTGCACGGGCCCCTGGAGGCCTGGGACGAGCGGTTCCTGGTGGAGCGCCTGGAGGACCTGGTGATGTACCTCAGGGACTGCCTCCGCAAGCAGACGCTGATGCATTTCTTCCTGGGCAACGCCAGCCTCCCCGAGGCCGTGGCGCTGCCCAGGTTCCTCAAGGAAGCCGCCCCGGTGAACTTGCTGGCCGCCTTCGATGGGCCCACGCTGGACCTGGCCGCCTTCCAGCTGTTGTACACCTGGAGCCAGGCGCCGCACCTCATCAGGACGTACGGCGGAGCCCGGTACCTGCGGCCGGCTGCGTGCCGGCACGGCGCCGAGGCGCGGCAGGAGCTGCCCGCGGAGTGAGGGATCGCCGTGCGCCCGGCTGCCCGCGGTGGGACCCGCTGGGATGTTCTGTGGTTTTATCCCCGAACCTGAGAAAACTGGGAAACCGAAGGCTGAGACTTAAGGAAATGGCGATAGCTTTTATTTTTAATGTCGTCGTGGTGGGTTGTTCGTAGGAGGATTACAGAATTTCTGGGGAAGTGCCTTGGTAGGAAAGCGTTACTTTTGGTCGGTTCAAACTGACAGTTCTGCAGATCTATCTTAACTTGCCCTAGTGGCAAAACTGACCTTTTCTGAGATGTGATTTTTAGGGTACAAAATCCATTTGGGATTTAAAAATCCCGTGAGCACAAACAAAACCTCTTACTGTGCCGAGGTGCTCTTAAAATGAGATGAGCATTTGAGCATAGGTATTGGTTGCAGTCTGAAATGCTCAGTGACATGCTTTAAGTTTCCTGTGTAATGTAAAACATCGTGCTGAATGGAAATGTAATAAGCATCTTAAAGCAGAACTAGGGGGAGAAGTGAAACTTCTGATGATAGCATGAAGAATCTACTTGTGCATTTCTGTTTTAAATGAAGGTTATGCTGAAGGATTGAAATACTGAGAAAAAGAAACAAATAGCACTTTATTTTCACAAAGGCCTTAATTTTAGGATAATTGGCTGCACTAAATACTCACTGTGGAGAAGGCATTAGTATTTTATTAAAGGGGTGATGTTTGAGTCATCCTCAGGAAAACCTTCTTTTTACAGAAATACTCTGGGTTCTTGTTTTTGAGATATTTTGCATATGATTTTCTCAGAACATGCTCTGACACAAGGACAACAACAACACAAACTTCCTGTTAGGTTTGGAACCAGGCTTCAACCAGTCCGCATCTCACTGATGTGTTCTGCCTGCTGCGCCCCTGTGCTTTCCAGGAGCAGTTGGTGGCTTTTGGGGCTGCCACCATCTGCCTGCTTGTGGCACTGTTTTGACCAAATGACCTGATGGGATTTTTCTAGTGTGAGCAAATTGTTATCTTACTGTGGGGAGGAGGAAGTAAAATATTTCAGGGTACTCAAAAATGGTTTAGCACTTATTCATGGTACGGCGAAGCAGCTGTGGCTTCGGAAGTATTGTAAATGTAAGCATCAGCGAGGTAATTTCCACTCCTTATGGAAAGAGTGCGTGAGAATACTTCCCAGAGTTCTCACAGGGCTGAACAGGCAGCACTGAGCTGTTGTGCTTCTCCCTTGTCTCGGTTGTGAGGTTCAGCTTGAAGGAGTGCTCGGGCTGTCAGCCTCTGCCTGGTGTCTGTGTCTCTGGGATGGCGTGTAGAGCTGTACTGCAGCCGGTATGGGACCCTCATGTCTCCCAGGGTGTCAGCAAATGTAGAATTCCAAACCTTTAAGTTAAAATATCGAGTTACTGAATTACTGATGCTCAGGAAGTTGAACGTGTGCTTCATTACCACTACTCTGCATCCTAGGTGAGCACTCTGAAATGGATTATAAATTATGAAAGGTAACCCCTGGGATGCTTCAGGATGACTTGAAATTACTGAGACACTCCTCCCTGATGTACATACTGGTGTGCCTTATTCACAGCTCTATGCAACAAAGCACAAACATTTGTAAGATCTACAAAGCTTTATACAAATCTATTTTTCTAAATGGAAACACTCCCCAGGCAGATGTTTGCCTGCTTCTGTCTCTATTTTTTTAACTGCTCTTGCAGTCTTATTTTCAGGTAATTATAGACAAGGTCATACCCGCAAGTTGGGTTTTTTTTATATTTGAAGCACCGTGCTTCTTTCTACAAATAAAACCAGTGTATTTAAAGGTAGTATTGATCAAATGTTCTTTGCACATGGTATTTAAGGCTAAGTAAGCTACCTTGGTTGTCTTTTTGTAGCAGACCATATGTACTATTTTTGCAGACTTGTATTATTTGGTGTTTGAAATGACTGCAGGGCTGTGGTCAACACCATTGGATCTTCAAGGACTGGATGAGCAATCCAGGGCATTGTGGCTGCCTGCACACCCAACAGAAACACTCCAGCTCTTTATTCTGGCATCACAGCCACTCCAGCTGGCTGATGGTTTGTTCTCATCACTGTGCATCCCTCTCTCAGAAAAGTAATTCCTTCTGTGAGAGGGATGCATGCTTGGTGTGTGTCCTGTACTGGTGGAAGGCTGTAAGGGTGAGAACTTTGTTGTGGAAGTGTAGGTGAAGGAAAAGAGGGTTGCGTTCAGGCAATTCTTGACAAGGGGAGATGGTAGAGAGTAGCAGTGGTTTAGGTGATGGAAGTTGGGCTGAGGGATGAGTGAGAATGGTGGCAAGCTGTCAATGAAGATGCACTGAGCTGAAGGATGTGAGGATGCAGCCTATCAATACCTGAAGGGAACCTACACCCAGGAGGGGAGTAAACTCTTCAGAAGGGCTGACAACAGCAGGACTAGGGGAAATGGATCAAAGTTGAAGGAGGAAAGATTTAGGTTGGATGTTAGGGGGAAGTTCTTCACAAGGACAGTGGTTAGGCCCTGGAACAGGCTGCCCAGGGAGGTTGTGGATGCCCCGTCCTTGGACGTGTTCAAGGCCAGGTTGGACGGGGTCCTGGGCAACCTGATCTGAATGTGTGTGTTTGGTGGCCCTGCTAGGCAGGGGGGTTGGAACTACATGATCCTTGAGGTCCCTTCCAACCCAGGTGATTCTGTGATTCTGTGATTCTATGAGGCTGGAGGAGATCTGAAAGTGAGGCAGACCTGGAGCAAGGGAAAAGCAATTTAACTGAGTGTTGTTTTGGCTGTATTTCCAAATAGGTTGAATCCATCTCGGATGAACAGTTAGGCAAAAACTCACTTTAATAAGCCACATAGGCTGATACTCAGTGTAAGTTCTTGCTCAGCGAGGAATTTTGAGTTTATGATGACTGGTGGCAGAAGATATTTGCTTTAGCCTTGGTTTGGGCAAGCTTTCCCAAAGCACCACATGCATGCTGGTGGACCAACTTGCAGCTCTGTTATGCACCTGAGACATTAAGTATATTTTCTTTATTTAATGTAGGGCAGACATTCATGAATACGATTGGCAGAAGGAGCTGATGACAGTTGGGTTCTGTTAGAACCACGACAGGTAGTAGTGGCTGCAGTGCCTTGGTGCTCTCTCAGAGCCCCGTCTGCAAGGAGGAGTGCATGGAACTGAGCTGCGGGAATCCCTCCTCCCAGCAAGCAGTGCTGCAGTCACACAGCAGTGTTCTCAGCATGTATGTGCTGTGCATGAAGGTCAGGACTGTGCTGTAAGTTCAGCGCGGCATCCTCTGTGTGTGTGTAAGCTGAAATGAAAATGCAGAAGAAAGAGCATGTGACTTAGCACTGATGTGGGCTCTTGGTTCTCTTCATCTGCAAGCTAATTTTACAGAGGTTTTGTGCAAACAAAATCATTTTTATTGAACACTGAAAAGTTGCATTTGTAAAAGAGTAAGTTTATTTACCAGAATGCATATGTGTGACTTCTTTTTGTATTGAAAAATCCTATGTATTTTGCAAGGGCATCATTTCTTATCTGACTAAATGTTTCAGAAACATTCCTCCTCTTTTAATTTGAATCTACAGAGTAATGTAAACTTTACATGTCTGTCTGCAATGGATGTTTTTGGTACAACTATTTTTTGCTGGTTAATAATTAGACCAAAGATTAAAGTGTTCAGCTGCTATTTTTTTTTCCAAAAAGTGTTAATAGGCTCAAAATGTCCATTTTAAGGCATTCTTTTCCTATTTAATACCAAATTACAATTGCACTTTTGTTGTTTCCATGAAGTTGGTGTTCTTATTTTAATATTTCACTGTAGTAATAAACAGCTGTTGTAATGCATCTGTGCCTCGAGATTTAAATCCCTTCTTGTGGTTGTTTGTTTGTTGTTTAGTAAAAGCAGCCTGCAACCATAAAGGTTTCTGTGAAGGTTTATGTGCTCTTTAGAAGGAGACTACTGCAGCAGCAAAGCTGTGTTGAACCAGGAAATCCACGCCTTGGAGTGTGCAGAGATACGGGAAGGGAGCCAGGAGTGCTGAGTGTGGCTGGCACGGACAGTGGTGGTGTGGAGCTCTGACATGGACCACGTAGGGTTTGTGGTTCTGTTGCTCTGAGGGTAGGGAGGCAGTGGTTCTTGTTTCCCTGGTTCCCATTTCAGGTTGCTGCACAAAATCTGCTTTTCCTGGTGCTTAATGATGAGCTAGGACTTCATTTAACCGCATCCCTAGGAGCCTTTCAGTTCCAAAGCTTCCAAGTTGCACTTCACTAAATATGGAAAAACTTGCACTGAAGCCAGCAGGAACTGTGTGAATGGACCAGCAAGTTACCTGTCCTCTGCTGCTCTTAGGTAAGATGTCAAAATTACGTATTTGTAGTTTGTGCCGATGCTCCCTATTAAAGAATGAAATAGCAGCAAGATCTCCACTTTTTTGATCATTAAATTAAAGCTATGCTGAAAGTACACGGGTCTCCAGATCGTTGTGTGCCTGCCTCCTGCCTTGCAGACAGTAGCTTCTCTAGGAGGGGCAGCAAGAATTGTAGAGTTTTCTGAGAATGTCCAGATTGTGGGCGTCTCACTTGTAAAGATTGAAAAACTGACAATTTTTACTGTCAACACTCAGTCACCAAGCTCAGTGCTGGGGAAGTACATTTAGATCTTTACTCTTTAATAAAAATGATCTCATGTGAATGTTTTCCTTTGGAAGCAATAACAACTCGCTTCTCTGCAGTATTTCTCTGCTTGAACCCTGAGTTTCCATTAAGCAGAAAATCATCAAAGAAACACAGGAGTTTCTTGTCATGATAAATCTGTTATTAACCAAGAGCTGGCCTAAGGACTTGCATGTATGGTGTTCAAAGGAAAAACTGTTTGCATCCAACTCACTGGATAAATTGTTTAAAATCTTTCCACTCCTGTGCAAATACCTTCCTTGTAACGCAGCCAAGGTCAGTCATGAACTGCTGATTAAGTACTGCTAATGCAAGTTAAAGCTGCCTGGAGGGGAAGGACTCTCGTGCGTGCATATGATTTCCACAGAGCTGCAAAGGAGTTCAGTTAGGATAAACATGCTTTACAAGGCTGCTTTATTTCCCGTGTCAACTCTTCAGATATCTGTCTGTGCCATTTTCCCTGAGGTAAGTGCAATTCTGACTGATGATAACTAATTGGGGGAGCTGGCAGGAAAGCAGCCAGTCCCGCTTGCACTGTGCTGATCACACTGAGGAGGTGGCCATTGACACAAGGTCAAGGAGCGCGTGCCCTGTGGGTGTGTGGGCTCACTTTGGTGCTCACTGGTGCTCTCCTTGTGGGTCTGGGTAGCTTGGCACCCTGAAGTCAGCAGGCTGTGGGGCTGCCTTTAGGCAGAACTGCCTTTACCATGTGTCACCATCTTGCACTTCTCAAAGGCACGGTGTGGCTGATAGGCTGCTTCTGCTCCTGTGTGTGTCTACAGGGCCCTGTTTTAAAGCTGTAGCCAAAAGCTGGCATATTTGCAACTGCTTTACAAGAGAATCAGTGTCATGCTATTAAATCAGCAATAGAGCTATAGATAACATATGCTCTGTATCTGCACAACAGTCTGTTAGTACTCAAATAATGATGTACGTGCCAAACTCCAAAAGGTTGTTAGAAATGCATATGTATCAAATGTCATTGCATAGAAGTTTTCTGCATTAAGGAAGCCTTATTTTTTCCATTTACAGGGTAGCAATACTGATTCAGAGCCTTGGAAAATTTCTATGTACTCAAGTTACAGGTCTGCATTTCTTGAAACCTCTGGGTGTTTTTTCCCCCTACAACCAGGACCAAAGCTGTATACAGAACAGTCGGTTCTGTGGCTTGGGCTGGGCGTGATAAGGGCTCGGAAGAGTTGTCGTGGTACTAACGGTCTTCTACAGGTTTCTCTCCCTCCTCCAAAGAGTTCACACCATAATAAAAGAGATGGGAGGTAAGGAGTTGAGAAGATGGTGACAATGTGGGATAACTGATTTTAAAAGCCGAGCACCACTGGAAATGCAGGCCCTCCAGCCAGGCTCACACTCCAGTGCTGCGGCGTTTCCTGGTTCCTGCTGGCACAGAGGCAGCGGCCGCGCTTTGTGTGAGCCGTGCGGGAGCGGAGCTGCAGAGGAAGTGACTCATCCCTGTGCTGAGCGCGGCTCTGTGCTGTGCAGCGCGCTCAGGGATAGCACTGGGCTTCTTGGAAACTGCCTGCGGGCCTGCAGTGGGGCAGCGAGGCAGCAGAGGCGTCTTACAGAGCCTCGCTTGGGATCTGTGGGCTGTGCCGGCCCGGCTGCTGCGGGCAGCGAGTCCCAGGGCACTGTGCTGTGCTTGGGGCGAGCGGGCTGCTGCTGCTGGTGGCGGTAGGGAGTGTGTCAGTGTGCCTTTGGAACGGCTTGCTTTGTCTCGTATTGCTGGAGGCTCGTTTAAGTGTGATTGAAAAAGGAAAAATTCGCTCATCATAAGGATTCTGAATCATGGGCACTTCTCCAAAAAGTGTTTCTGTTCAGGGTTTAAGGTGCTTTCCCAGAAGCTGTCAGAGCTCACCAGCCCTCCAGGCCCTGCCAGAGCCAATGAAAAGGGCCAAATATTAAAAAAAATAAAGCGGAGGGGAGTTGAGGGAAACGCAGCACCATCAGAAGGCTCCAGGAAGCCTATGAGCCCCTGCTTTTGTGTCAGTGTGGTCTTTTCCAGAGCGCTGTGAGCATGTGGGCAAACTCTGGTTAAGGCATTGGAGGCATGGCACTACGCAGTACAGCCTGGTGCTGACAGTGTTGGTCTCTGT